ATTGAACATTAATCAATCTTAGCCTTTCATCTAGATCTTATCCTACGATTCTCTTTACATAAAATTACAACCATTAGATCAAATTTCATCTAAGGGTTCATATTCATTCCAATGGAGCTAGTATATAAGGTGACATGTCAGTTTATTTTGCATACATATACATTCATTTTGCAAATTTCAACCTTAATAGCTCAAGAGAGGAAACCAAAGCTTTCATTGAGGGAAAAGAAAGAACACTATTACAGGGCTAGCAGAGAAAAGATAGTAAAAGGAAGGAAAACTCGAACAAAAGTGAAAGGAAATTCTTTAATTTCTTCATTAAGAAAACAAACTAACAACGTACATCCTTTTTATAATATTCGTACAACAATTACTACTTTACACGTGTTATTCTACTGACTATTATTAGCTACTAACAAACTAGCTTCCTATTTCATGTGTCAATCTCACACTTAAGCTTCCAACTGTGTGACGTCTTTAACCTCTATGCAACTACCATTCCATGGTTCATGCCCTTCAATTAAGCCACAAAGTCCCTCGGTAATTTAAAGCTCTTTTTCTTCACGTTTAGAGCATCAAAGTATAACAATCATTCCCTTTTCAAGAAGGTCTTTGCCCTTAAGGTCCAAGGTGGGGAAATATTTAATATGCTCTCGGACCACTCAATGATTTGGTGCTCTCTCTCGTAACACTAATTTTTTCTTTTTCTTTTTACTCCTGTTATTTTTCTTCTTTTTCAATTTTGCCCTTCGATTTACATTAAGGGACCACTTAAAAAATGGTGATCCGGACGAGAGTAAATTCTCTCCCAAGGTGGATGATATGTCCATGAAAGTCCTGACTCAAATTCCCACGAAGCATCTTTGGTTACTGAATTTGACAATTGCACCATAAATTGTCATTGTAGGCTTCCTCACATGAGCCTATAATTAGTACATCAAGATATATATGTTCTAAACCTTTCTTTTTGCTTCAATTTTGATAGTTTTGTATTAATTCAGGCATAGATTTCGTTTTCTTCATCATTATGTGATTGAACCTATTTAGGAAGTCTTGAACCTAGCATGGTTTGAGCATTGGTTGGCTTGGCTTGAATTTTTATCTCAAACCTCAGAGCATAGAGTTATACAAAGGGATAACCCCATGTTTGGAGCGGAATGTAAATGGAGTTACATGTCCATGTTCATTGCTTGGTTCGAGAGACAAGTTCTTGAGGCTTGGAGCTAGTTCTTGAATGGTAAAATCAAGGTGTTTTATGTTGATCAAGATGATCAATTTTATTTCTATTGTCCTTGATAAAGTTGCATTTTTGTGTAACACTTTTTTATAAGTTAGAGGAGAAAATGCCTAGTGCTATTGCCTACCATGTGTATGTAATACTTATTGCACTTAAGGGGTGAATTGAACCACTAGTAATCTTGATATATAATTGTTCTCTGTCGTTGACCTTTTACATTCAATTATTGTGTACATTCAATTATTGTATACATTCAATTATTGTGTTATCATGAAAGATAGTGTAGAAATAAGTCAATATCTTGTGTGTATCTGAATACATCAACAATTCCACATCAAGATAGTGTATTGTGCTTCAGACTTAGTGTATAAAATTAGTGTATATTCATTTGTGTGTCTCGACCTTATGGTAATAATTTACCTTAATTCATTCTCAAAATTGAACACTTCTTGTATTGATTGATGTACATTATCATCATTGAATTGTGATCAATTCTGAGTGATATACTTAACACATAATGACTCGGACATAAGTGATATTTTTCTGCTCTAATTGATATTAGAATCTTTTATCACGTAGTATTGAATCATCTAATATATTGGTCTTGAAATTGGTATATTGAAGCATATAATCTTATTGTTTGAAATTTTGTTGAAAGTTTTTTGAAACTAAATATTTTGCTGTGCATGTAGCTCTTAGCCACATTCTAAATTAGAGTTAGATGCTTTGATAATCTCACATTAGTCATATTCTTATGGTTCTAGATTGATATCCTAATTAATCCTAACACAAGTCGATATGCTTTTTGAGAGAAAATGAAGATCTTCGATTTGTTTTATTTGAGATTAAGGATGCCTAAATGTATTGTATTACCATCATAAATACATTTTTTGTTAGATATGTTCATGTATTTTTGACTGCATACATTGATCATTGCATTACATTTAAGCATAGAGACCTAAAACATCTAAAATTAAACTAGTATCTAGCTTAATAAACTTGGTTAACCTAATTAATTGTTATTGTGAGTGATTTGAAAGAAGAAAAATTTGAACTACCTATCACCTACACTACATCGTGACCTAGAGAGTGCAATCTCCTAAAGACATCTATACTCAAGAAGTTTAAAAAAGAAAACAATTTCCATCATACTTGTTTTTGGAAAAGTTTGGCATACAACTTTATTCACACTATAGTGTTGTTCTATCCTTCTTTGCTTGGAAGCCACTTGCCCAATAGTTTATAGTCTATATGAGATTGCATTCTATCAAAACCCATAAGGTTCTAGTATGCCACTTTTACAAGAAAGTTCCACTGATAACTATTAATCTATATCAATTTATCATCTCCATCATTTATTGTTGGGGTATCGTATCTTGTATTCTCAAAATTGTATGACTATCTAGATATGATTTCATATAATCCAGATTTCATATAATCCAGATTTCAAAGGCTTCTATCAAAGTCAAAATGGTCAACCACTGTGAGATTCAAGTCATCATTAGAAGGTCTCATAGTGGCTATGTCGAAGAAGCTTTTATCGCCATCTAACTAATTGTCAATCAAGAGATTAATACCCTCGTTGTTCCCTATCTCTTACAATTTACAAGAGTGATTCTCAACAAAGGATGGCAATTCATAGATACGTGACCTTGGACTATATTTCTTGCGCAGAGAATGTTTAGAGGATTACTCCAAGGGTTTACGTAATTTATAGGAGGGGGGATCCTTGCATTGGTAACACTTAAGTCGTTTATGAGAAAACCACATAGACTTTTAATTGAAACAATCTATTTACACTATATCAATGCTACCATTAAACAAATCTTTTAATTTTAGGGAAAACTTCAAAAACATCCTACAAGTTTTCTCAAAATCTTTTAACCCCCTATCCGAAATTTTTAATCATTTATCTCCCTATTTAAAATTTCTTTATCACTTACCCACCTAATTTGATTTTCCATCCAAAATTTTGTTAACAGAGTTAATTTTTTAAAAAAATACCAAAATTACCCTTAATAGAAAAAGGAAAAACATAATTTCCTCACAGATGCAGTTTTAGACGAACTCACGAAATGTTTTCTTTAAGGTAGCTTTGTTAGAATTAGTAATTATTAAAATTGTTTCATGCAAATCTCATTGTCATTAAACACCCACTCGCAATTGTTGTTGTCGTTGTTCAAATAAAATGATTAAAGAGGCATCATCCCAGCAAGTTTAGATCTTCTCTTTTATGTTATAAGTTTTTCTGCTATTATATGACCAACAAATTTGACTTTATAAATTTATTCAGAACCGCATTTTATTTTGCTTGCACAACAACTGAAAAGCTTTATGTTCTGTGCTTCATATATGTCTTATTTTTCTCTTAATCATATGATATTATCAAGCAAACATGCCGAAGGTGCTATTTCGTTGTTTTCTGTGTCGTTGAGAGTAAAGGGAGGGTTCAATCGTTGATTTACATTCATGTTTTGCTTACGTGAGTTTGTCTAAAAATATTTTTGTGAGGAAATTATGTTTTTCTTTTTTCTATTAAGGGTAATTTTGGTATCTTTTAAAAAATTTGATTTTGTTAACAAAATTTTGGATGAAAAATTAAATTAGAGAGGTAAATGATAAAGAAATTTTAAGTAGGGGGTAAATGATAAAGAAATTTTAAGTAGGACGATAAATAATTAAAAATTTGAAAGAGGGGGTTAAGTAATTTTGAGGAAAGTTATATAATTTTTTTTTTTTTTGAAGTTTTTCCTTAATTCTAAGACAAAAATACTTCCATTACTCAATCCATCACCGGTCATCGTTATCATCAACACCATTGCTATCATCAATATCATTATTGGCCACTGTACCATTAGAGGTGGTGGTCAATAGTATATTAAGGAATATGAATATTTTTGTTTTAAATTTGATATATATATATATAATTATAATTGATGAAATAATATAAAATAAGTAGGTCAGTTGTTTCAATAAAAATTCTATGGTGGTTTTTCTAAAGAAAGACTTAAGTATAGATCGATAAGTTGTAATTTATCAAAATAAATTAATAAATTATTATTCAAACCCAAATGAAGCTTTATATCAATGTGAATGTTGCTAAAATTAGATCGAATAATAATTTAACATGACATTCAATTCTGGTTGAATCATATCAATTATTATAATTATTTGATCGAATTGGATGATTTCATAAAAATAATTCTCATAGAATAATCAAAATGTAAAAAAAAAATTATTAGTCACAAAAAATATTAAATAAAAATTTTATAATAAGCTTCTTCACCATATTAAATCAATCAATTTAACTAAGCTTTCTCTTAGTCAAAATAATGTAGTAGTTAAATTTAATTTTAAGACAATATTTTAACAAAATATACGTCAAATTTAAGGTTAAACTTGTCACGCGCTCCATTTTATCCACGCATCACATAATGCTCAACATTTTAAACCGGCTTCGTATGGGATCTTCTGGAATATCTTATACTCATATTGATTTTGAGTCATATACTCATATGTTAGTCAACAAATAAAAAAAATGAAAAATAGAAAAAAAAATAAAGTGATAATTATTTTACCTTAATTAATGATCTAATTGTATTAAAAATTTGGTATGCTTTAGATACGCAATTATTCTAAAAATATAATAGTATTTATTTGCTCTTCGAAATTACTCGTGTAAGTGTAATTGATAAATGATAGATAAAATAATAATAAAAATATTAAAAGGGTAAAATGATTCTAAACTGAAGCTACATATAAAGCAGACAAACCCATTTCTCTATGACTGTGATTTGAATCTGAACACCGAACGCCAAAAGGGAATTAGGGTTTTAGGAATCAACAATGGATTTGACAACGGAGAAGAAGGAATTAGAGAGCAACAACAACAATAGCAACAATAGCAGCAATAACCCCGAAAGTGCCCATCAAATTGTAGATTCTTCTTCTCAATTGGCACCTGATGCTAACAATAACTCTAACAAAGAAGCCGAAGAGCGACAAGCTCGTGAACTCAAAGCTGGTCTTCACCCACTAAAGGTTCCTCTCTTCCTCTTCCATTTCTCTCTCTGCTTCCAATTGTTCACTACCAAATCGGTCAAACAGTACAATAATCTTTTTTTTTTTTTAATTATTTTTTATGTATTCGTTCATATTTTAGGGAAAATGTTGACTTTGAACCTAATTTATGGTTTTTTTTTTTTTTTTGTGTGCGTGGCAACAAAACAGCATGCAATGCTTGAATTGAAAAGGCTAGGGATTAACGACCTCGCATTTTTTTTTCTTTATTTTCTTTTTTTTAAAAAAACAAAATTGAGCGATTTAAGGGTATGACTGAAATTTGCACTGATATATGTGATAGGAATATAGTCTGGGTTTTGGGTATCTATTATTTATCCAGGAAGATTCTGAAGAAATCAAAATTTGGGATTTTTTGTTTGTTTGTTAAGGTTTTGAATAAGAGTAGCTTGCATTGTTATATCAATATGACTTAGATTCTTTCAAATTGACTTTAGAAGTGATTTTAATTCTGGAACAGTTGGTTTAGTGTTGTTATATTGGCTGTGTTGGATTGTTCTTGAAGCAGATATATGAGAGATGGTTATGCGCTTTTGTGTAGATTCAGGCTCTTAATGATTTGAAATTCTTGTTGATTCTTTGTGGTGGTTATTTTTATTTCCCTATCTCTTTTTCCCCTGGTCAGAGGCTCTTAGGGCAGTTTGACATTTTGGTTGTTTTATTTTGTGTTGGTTATTTCTATGAGCAGCATAAATTTGTATTTTGGTACACGCGTCGAGCACCTGGAGTTCGAAATCAAACATCATACGAGGACAACATAAAGAAAATTGTTGATTTCAGTACGGTAAGATCTTTGCTATATTGAGGGCTGTAATTCAATATAAATTCATACTCCGTTGTTAATTTCTGTACTTTGGCAATTGTTTGTATTAATAGGTTGAAGGATTTTGGGTCTGCTATTGCCATCTTGCTCGCCCTTCTTCTTTGCCTAGTCCAACAGATTTGCACCTTTTTAAAGAAGGGATTCGTCCATTATGGGAGGTATATATTTAAAAGCCTTAGCTAAAGTTGCATTTTCTTGTTGATTGAGAATTTATGAGCTGTTCTGTTTTGGAGGGAGAAACGGAGACTGGTGTCCATTAGATTTCTTTTAAGTTGCAATGACATGCTGCGTAATTTTTTTTTGAAGGACTCTGCGAACTGCAATGGTGGGAAATGGATTATACGATTCAAGAAGGTTGTCTCAGGTCGTTTTTGGGAGGACCTGGTAAGTGGAAATATTTTCTTCTGATGCTTGTTTTGTCTCCCTTGGTACAATGCCTGGCAAGATTATGGGTAACATGAATACTTTGGTTTATTGAGTGATTATTTGTACTTCCACTAAATAGCTTTACTGAAAATTTGGTTTTTGATAGATACCAAAGACATGGACTGATACTTGTAGTTGATCAGACCTAATGGAATAAGTCTTGTATGTTGTTCATATCTAAATATTCCATTAAAATATACCATATTCAAGTAAAAATGGGCCTCAAATGTTTTTTGTTGTTGATTATCACCATAACTGAAACTGAAGAAAATGCCTTGTTTTAGATTCCAATTTAGAATTTAGAATTTTATCTCTGAATTGCACTATTTGTAAAGTATGATTTCTATGTTTCATATGGTTGCTCACTGTGCATTCATATGAGCTTAACATGGTTTCAACTTAACAGATTTGTCATTGGGGTAGGGAAAGATTGTAGAAGCCTCTGTAAGCAGTTTCTAAAATAAGGAAAATGTAAAACACATGTTCATTGAAGTTCAAAAATGAATTCTTGTACTTCTTGCTGATGTGCCGTGGGAGCTAGTATGAACTATATACTGGACCAGCAGGGCCTACATTTCTTGTTTAAGATTTGTGGGATCTTGAGTGCTTATTTAACCAATTTCTGATTTCACCTTTAGAGAATAATTTACCAAATAGTGTATATATTCTTACACTGGTGTTAGAATAAGAAGTCGTATACTAGATCTTAATCTTTGATTTGCTTGCATCTAACGGCTCACATGTCTAATAAATCAGGACCGTTAGATATAAATAGAATCCATGGCCAATATGTTAGATTAAGAATGTAACTTACACTGGTGTCAAATGATCCTGACACTATATATATTAATAATCTTCTATGAAAGAAAGTTTGTGTGTTCCCGATAACTCGAGGAGGTAGCATTTTAAAAATGGATTTGGAAAGTAATTATATTCGCCAATTTCCAACAATTTGTTTTCATGGAAACCATAGTTATCAAATGCGGATTGCAGCCAACCCTCAAAACCGCTATAGCATTATTGTGGGTTGCGGTTGCGGAAATAGCGGAAAAAATATATATTAAAAAAACAAATTATATATATATATATATATATATATATATATATATATATATATATATATATATATATATATATATATATAGGGCTCTAATTTTTTAGTAATGTGAGCTATTGGATACAAGTGGATCAATGGTCAAGATTGAGTGTAAGACTTCTAACTCTTACACCGGTGTAAGAATATCCTGCCCCATATATATATATATATATATATATATATATATTGTTTCTCAAGCTGCTTGAGATAACTTTATCTCCGGCTACTAAATCATAACAGTACAAAGATGGATCAATGGTGATAAAGGAAAAGAGATGAAAAGGGAATCATAACCATTCAAAGGTAAATTAATTAATATAAAGAAATAAATAAACAAAACAACGTAGTTTTGGGGAGGACGAAGATAAATATATTTCAAACTGCTTGAGAAATAATTTTCTCATATATATATATATGTGTGTAACATAATAAATTATTAAAAAAATAATAACACCTAAAAAAATACAAATAATAAAAAATTATAAAGATAAATAATAATAAAATTTTTAAAAATAAAGGCAGAGTTGACGTGTTACCTCTTAGCAAATAAGTGTCCAAACTTTAGCTGTAGTTGTACTACCTTTAGGGTTAACTATACTTTACTGATTTACCATATTTATCTCAATTACTTTACTGTTTTACCGTAGTTACCTTTTCATGATGCATTTTTTTTTCTTTTTTGGGATACAGAAATAGTTTTACCCACTGTTACTGTAAATAAGATTAGCCAATTTTTGTTTGGTAATGAGCAATAGCACATAAGCACCTGGTTGTTTTAAAATATATTTTCTTCTACTGTTGAGTAGTAGGACGGTTAAGCCTAATGTGAAAGGACTTTTCTAATTGGGTCAATTGGAAATAATTCTGTGTTTACTGTTCTACATGACTTGCTTCCTGAATCCTGTGTGCCCTTTTTTATTTAGACGAGTTTTCTAAATATAACAGGTACTCTATCCATTTATCATAAACCTTGATATCAACTTCTCACTGCTTTCTGGGATATAGCTATTATTAGATCATCTATCTAAAATGGTTTTAAATGTTCCTGGGTGAATAATGCTGATTCTTTGGACATTAATATAAACAAAATGTAATGGCAGTTTAACAAATGATATGCTTTTTATTTGGTCGAATAAATTTGTCCACCTGATTTTGTTGATACAAAGTCTTTCTTGCACTTTGTAAGTTTATCTATGATGGCAAAATTACCACTTGGAATCTCTTTTGCTTGATGAATTTGGCTTCATGATTTATACCTTCGATTACTATTATATTTCTGTCTTCTATTGGAGACTTGAAATGTGTAATGATATTACATGGCTAAGTGCAGGTTCTTGCCTTAGTCGGTGACCAATTGGATTATGGAAGTAACATATGTGGTGCAGTATTAAGCATTCGTTTCAATGAGGATATATTGAGTGTCTGGAATCGCAATGCATCTGATCATCAGGTTGGCATTATCAGTTACCCTATTTGTTTTCTTGTGTGTATGCGCCTGAGTGCCCAAATTTAATTTATGCTTGTCCTTGATAATATTCCATCCCTGTCCTGGTTTATCGGATTTAACGGGGAGTGATTTATGTCCCTTGGCCTTGATAATATTCCTGCTCTCTCATTACAGGCTGTAATGGCTCTAAGAGATTCAATTAAACGTCACTTAAAGCTTCCTCACAGCTACGTTATGGAGTACAAGCCCCATGACGCCTCTCTGCGAGACAATTCATCTTACAGGAACACTTGGTTGAGAGGCTAGAGATACAACTGTGTTGTTCATGCTGGCACAGCTTTCACTCAGCCAGTTAATCATTGGCTTCAGTCTTATGATGGTGTTGGGGTGTTCCAGTGCTGGTTTCTGTCTTTTGAATTCATGTATGACAGCAACATTGTGACTGATTTTAGTAGTTTTATTTGGTTACTTAAAGGTTCACTCTCTAATTTTGTGTAATGTCTTGCTCCGTTGTTGTAAATAAAGTTGCTCGTTTTGTCGCTTTTCACCTAGCTGAAGGAGAGAAGCATGACTTTTCATTCAGATGATAGATTACACTTGTAGCACATTTTGACAAAAAGGGCATTAATCCATGAAAGTGGAGACGTATTATTAGGGAATTATTAATATGAATAACAGTTCATATGAATAGTACTGCAATAAAAACCTTTTCTCACTGGATTAGGTGCATTGCATGGATTGTAAAAACCAAGTCTTTGGCTATTTAAATTTAAATTCTTTTCAAAAAACTTATGCCATTGATTTTAATATATTGATGTACAAATAAAAAACAAAGGATGTACCAAAAAAACAAAAAAAAAAACAAAGGAAGTTTGTAATTTCATTTTTTTGGGTAGGATTTAAGTTGTAACACAATTATTATTCTCAAGGAATATTTATAAAATTCGGAAATAATTTTTTTGAGAAAATTTTTCTTACACACAATTAAAAGGCGGATTTCACTTTGATTTTTTTATCTTCTAACTTTTTTGTGGATCCCACTTATTTATTGTGTATGTAGGAAGGAACAAATTTCTTATGTTAAATGAGAAAATTAATCACAACATCAAGTGTTAAGGCAAGTAAACCCCCAAAATTGAAAAGAAAATAAATAAGGAAGAATACAATGAATTTTATTTTAAAAATGAGGTCTATATTTGAATATTATTTTAGGGTAATATTGATAAGATGTTTATGTCATATTTTGCAAATATGTGCTATGGACAAAGTCTTGAGGACCATACGAAATTAACTCAGTATTTTCTGTTCTTCAGGAAGTGTTGAAACATTGACTATTTATAGAGAACATCTTTGGTATACAATCCATTCAACTGTTGAACTGTATGAAAGCATTTTATAAATGTTGGTCCATTCTTAACATAGGCCATACAAATTTACACATGTTTAATATTGAATAAAGTGGCTATGATAGGAAGCCAGTAGTAGTGGATAAGTGGGAAGTGGCCATACCTAGATTATAATATTTTGTTATCTAGGACTTACATATACGAAACACAACAAGCATAGCAACTCTTCCCTAGTCCTCACCTACTAGAGGGCATACAAACCATAAAGCAGAGAATAAACAGAAGATTACTATGTAACAATGTACTAGAACTTTATAACTTGTCAGTATAGTTGCTTTAAAAGTAGTTACAGCATGATTGTAATTTCATAAAGATATAAAATGACATTGCATACACCATCTATGAACATATCAATTATTTGTAGGTAAACCATCCTTTTTTTTTTTGGAGATTTTTCACTGTTCATAGATTAATCAATTAATCCGGTCGCGACCATTATCCTAAACAGATGACTGGAGCCCGATGATACCTGATCAACAATTAGCAATTGTCAGGCTTCAACATGCAAAGCACAATGCAGCAGGTCGTATTAAAAGTTAAAACAAACTGAACTCTATAATATGTGACATGATTTCTTTCGTGTCATACTGAGCTTAACCTACATAATTTACTGACACTAATGCTATGTACATAAGATTGAGTATTTCTACAAGCACTTCAACTATAGAATAGATAATAACTTATTATGGCATGAGTCAAGGAGGTTCTATCATCCTGACTAGAAAGTTTTTCTATGATCCTAACTAACGAATAATTTGACAAGGAAAAATCCATATCATAGAGGCACTAAGCCACTAAAAAATATAGGTATGCAATGGATTAAACTCCTGGAATAGATCATAATTTATTAACAGGAATTTACTATCCGGAAACAATCTGAAGTACAGAAGTATTACCACATGCTACTCTTGCCCCTGCATTCCCAGTAGTCTTGCTGAGTTCATGCCCACCTGTTCATGACAAACACAAGGTCAAGAACTCAAATAAAATGGTCATAAGTTAAAAAATCAAAGCATTGAAAGTTGTAGTATTAATGTATAAATAAAGGCTAGGATACAATGGCATGTGGTGAACAGAACAGTAGTTCATTCTGGACTTTACAAATTCAAAGAAGATCAGAAAGAAAGCATATCTCTATTCTCTAGTCCGTTAGCTTAAAAAATGGGCAAAGACTTATCTGAAGATTACACTTGCATAATACGTAGCTTTGGCTTCTGTCCTCTATACCTAAAATACAGATTTACAGTGGAGCCTCTATATGACTTTTCAACACTAGATAATACATATATAAAATTATTCCAATCTTTTTCATGCATGACAGGAAGTTGCTTCATATAGACATTAATCATTCTATCACTGCTTATATTCCTCTCTTTTTTGTATGTTAATTAAATAATTCTTCAGCTTTTACTAGTGTAGTGTAGCAAGAAAAAATCTCAGTCAGCAATGGACAGTCTACTAACCAGAGAGGAATTTAACTTTTAGTTCTCATTGAGAATGGCCCACACTTCTGAGCCTCCATCACATCCTTGCGGTGGTTCCTAAACCTTTTATCTATAGAAACGCACTCCACACTGTTACCCCATATAAGTTTATCATAGTTGCATAAGTCATAAGCCTTGTAATGCTTTGGAATTAAAATCTGAGGATACCTAGAATCTTCAAAATGTGACAACTTTCCAAATCATAGTAATTGGTCATTTTCTTAGCATAGTCTTTATGAAAAAATATAAAATATTTGACAACTTTCCTAAACCTTTGATCGATAAAAAAAATGAAATAAATTCAAAGATTAAATATGAGTAAAAGATAATTCTAGGGACTAAATTGCCTATTTACTCATCACGCCAATGCACAAATGTTCAACATACAAAAGGAGGGTGTAGTTTGTACACTACAAAGCTTCTCAGATGTATGGTTTACACATTAGAATATGCATGTGTATGTACAAATAAGCAATGACCAGAGATTAACAACTTATCATGGCACCACAGCAGTGAACTAAGATGGCTATGTAGATCACAAAACAAAAGATAACAGGGAATAATAGAGCAGAATTAGTTGAAGCACAGTGCTTAATAGTCATTAGGTCAGTAAATAACAAATCACATCAGAGGAGTTACAACTTAGACAAAAAGCTTTTGCAATTCCTTAGTGACAGAAGATGTTAATACTAAATGAGCACTAAACATGAGAAGGAAATATATGTGGCCAAGCTGAGAGATATGAAATAAAAAGGTTTACTTCTAATGGAACAGTATCAACCTGGATCCCACAAGTAATTGGCACTTCGATCTTACCATATCAAGCAATAAGGGTAGTCAATACAGCTTATAATCATAGAGAAATTACTTCAATGAATTATAGTATAAAACGATATGCGTAGGGGAAAAGAAAAATTATATTTCAAAGTGGAAACAAGATTAAACCTAGTGTAACATCACTAACATGTTCATCCATTCTGTGGACAAAATTTAAAATCTTACCCTTTCCAAGATCATCAGGATCAGCATGCACAACAACAGCCCTCCCAAGTATGGAATGAAGTCCAGTTAGCGGAATCTACACAATGAAAGTGAGAAAGGGGAAACTCAAGTGCTTTTAGACCCAATTAAACAACACTCAAAGTTCATAAACAAAAATATCAACCAAATGAACACAATACAAAATGAAAGTTAATATTGGAGAACACAAACACATTTGAACATGAGATGAGTCTCCAAAACCACAAATAAAATGAAATTACCAAACTGATATCAAGTAAACATCACACAATACCCAAAGTTCAGTTCTTTACCTGTCCATCTCTGACAGAAATCTCAGCAACTCCTTCAAAACAGAAAACTCTTAGAACACTTCCCAGGACACAACTCATATAAATTACTCAGAATATCAAAATAAAAATGAAAATAATAATAATAAAGCAGATAATACCATCAGGGCCTGCAACAATGTTACCCAAATCACCAGCATGACGCTCATTATCCGTAGGAGCTCCATGATCCTTCTTGAGTGGATTGAAGTGAGGACCTGAAGTAAAGAAGAATTCAAAGCAAAAAACATAAATTGAAAGATTTAGGACCTGTTTGATTGTGTTCTGGTTCTTTTTTTTCTTTTCCCTAAAACTATTTTGTAGAGTAGTCAATAAAATGTGTGTTTTGTTTTAAAAGTTAAAATTAAAACACAAAACATAAACTGAAATATGTTCTACCATTTTGCCACAAAAGATAGGTATAAAAAGAATTGTAAAAGTTGATGATAACATTGGTGATACTTAATGAAGAGAAGAGTGCAAACCAGTGGAGTTGCAACCATTGGTGGTGTCACCAAAAGCATGAATATGGAACCCATGAAGGCCTGCAGAAAGCCCTGTTATTCTACCAGTTACATGGGTAGTCCCTACATAATCACAATCACAATCAAAAGAGATAAGCATCACAAGCTAAACAAACACAAACTCATAGATACAGAGACATTTTTCAAGACCCCAAAGAGAGAGAGAGAGAAACCATTGGGGTGCTGAACAAACTGAAGAGAACCTCTGACGTTGTTATCTCCGATGATGAGGGCCACAGCTTTCATAGCTCCCTTTGCAGCTTCCATTTCATATCGGTTTTTGTGAAAAGCTGTTGAAGTAAACAATGAAGATAAAAGAAAGGGATTATATTTTCTTATATGTTGCACTCACAAACTTATATAGGTTCCATTAAGTGGACCCCATACATTTTTAAGTGTATAGGAGAGACTTGTTATCTCCTATTACATCAGGCTAATATTTCCCTAAAAGAAAACACTAACGCAAAATTTAAATTTCTTATTTTTAGTTATTCACTTGTATATTCGTTTGGAAATTATAACAATTAACTATTTTATCATATTTATGGCTTTAATATTTATAAAGTGAATGCAGATAAGTTATTTACATTCGCTCCCAAAACGACGTCGTTTTGGGTTGAAAAATTAAAAAATTGTAATGAAAAAAACTATTATAACCCTGAAATAAATTATAATTAAGAAAATACCTTGATTTCTGCCTTAAAACGACGTCATTTTTGGCTCACTGTAGATAAGTTATCTACATTGACTGTAGAAAAAGTGAACCCTTTATTTATTATCTATTTATTGGGTATAAGCCTAGAGGTATTGTTAACTCTCCCAATTGAGAGTTAATTTTGTATTTTTATGATAAATTTGCTGCATAAATTTGATATAAGTTGTTTTGTTTGCATGATAATCGAGCTAATTGTTGTATATTCATGATTAAGTGCTTTAAGATAACTAAGTATGGAAAATAACATAATAATCCTTGATTTTATGTAAGAAAAGATGACTTGTTGAGTGTTTGTCTTTGCAAGAAAAATTGACGTCAAAATGCTGTAGCACAGAAGTTGACGAAGCAATGATATATCAATCGCTACAGCATAACAACAAGGACAAGGGAACAACTGAATTTTTGAAATTCAAAAGTTAGTTATTCCCCAACAAGTGGATAAAGCACCAGCAAGCAAGGATCAATGGCATTCTTGAAGATTGATTCTTATCCCAAAATCCCAAGGGACAAGGACAACAAACTTGTATTCGATCAACAACAATATTGGCATAAGAAAATCAAGAAGATCAAGATCTTATCTAATCAAGTGCCAACAACCCAAGAAGATAGGGATAAGATAGGGCTGCAGCAACACGATTCATGGAATCTCACTCCTAAACCTAAGACCTAATTATCCAACCACTTTTCCTATTTAAATAAGGAGTCCCCCACGGATTAAAGAGGTAGACGAGGTTACAAAGTCAGAGGAAGTCAGAGGAATCGAAGTCAAGCCATAAGGGTCGTTTTAGAGAGAGAAAGTGAGATTCTTGGAAGAGGAAGAGCTGCTGGAGCATTGTTGGAGCAAGACTGTGACGGAGTTTTACAACAGCATTCGTTTTGATCTTCTTTTCTATTTTCCAATGAGTTTTTTTCTTCCTTTTCTCTGTTTTGTTTAATTCCATTATGAGCTAATTTGCTCCTTAGGTTAGGTGATAAAGTACCTATGCTGTAACATCGAGATGTATGCCTAAACTTTGTTTCTATTAATGTTTAATTAGTTTTTCAACAAGTTTGCTTAATCTTATTCATGTGTGCATGTCGAGAGATACATATATGATATTGAGGAGGTTGGGACCGAGAGGTTTTCGAATCCAGACCCTTGTTGAATTGTGTGGATTAATTAGGTTAAGAAGTTAACTTGATTAAGTTGCGGGTAGAGAGATCATTCACACCACATAACCTTTGAACTTGAACTTTAATAATTCAGTAATTAATTTGGCCATAGAGATGTGAGAATTAGTTATTGGGTATATATGTTAGGTTGGCCAAAAGCCCCAGCATACTTTAGTGTTCGGTTACTAATTAAGCATTGATAGAGTATTGCTATAACATCGTTTCAGTATTGCTGCATCAGGGAAATTGAACATGACCTATATCTCATCCATCATCTTAATACCTTTGAATTTAGTTTACTGTTTCCTTATTATTAATTGCCTTTTATTTTATAAATCCAATCATCCCAATCAATCATTTTCCTAATTTCTTTACTTGAATAACTCACTTTATACTTATCTCCGTGAGAACGATACTTGGACTCACACATCCCTTTATTACTTGTGACACGTGCACTTGCGTATTTGTGTGATTGATTTAATTGATTGCAAATTTCACAACAGGTATCCCATTCAATTCCTCTTGCCACCTTTTCTTTGGAGTAAAGCTACTTTCTCATTGGAATAGTGAGTGCATTGATCCACAACCATAAGAGGAAGGATGAGACTAATCTCCGATCGAGGGGAGCCTTATAATACCCCGAACTTAAGCATTTAATTGCTTAATTTTAATTAAATAATTAAGCATATTTTAGTGAGTAAAATTAAGTATAAGGCTTAATTAAATGAATCTGAGTCACTTGGAGTTAAAAAGTGTACTCAGTGAAAATTAAGGGGTATAAATGGGTACAGGCGAAAGTACCCAAAATATAAAAATAAAAATAGTAATATTCCTAGAATAATATTCCAGACTTTTGGGTAAAGTTTGGTAATTAATGGAGTTGAATAGATAGACGAACCAATACCCGCTTAAAGTCACTTAACATAAGTTAAGTGACCAATGCAACAAAAGAAACCCAATTGTCCCTCCCCAACCCGTCGTGCAGAAGAGAGGAAAAGAAGAGAAGAAGGAGAAGAGGGGAAAAGGAAGAGGAAAGGAGAGGGAGAACCCTAGGTGGAGCAATCCTCAACCAAATCCATCCGTTCAAAAGCCTAAACCACTCTAAATCTTCTCCTCTTTCATAATCCAAGCTTAGTTTTGAGTGGGGAGCATTGTGGAGAGGGATATTGCTCCTAAAAAATTCGGCCCTTTGTGAGATTTTGGGGTTTTGGGGGTTTCAACCTCCATGGAAGCTTGAGGAACACTCATTCCTCTATTGTGTGATCATTGGTGGTAAGTTTCCACTCTCTTTCACATGATTCTTGGAGATTTGCATGAGTTTAGGGTTAATGAATAGTGTTTTAGGGTTTTTATGAAATGTTGAGTAGATTGGCTATGTTCAAGGAAGAATGAGGCTTAGAGTATGTTGTGAAAAATGCTAGGAATGACATTTAATCGGTAGAAATGAGTTTATAGTGTTATTTTAGTATGCTTTGATGTTTGGAGAAATCTAGGCTTGGAACTATGGATTTCCTTGCATTGTTAGCATTGTTTGATTGTATTCCTTGTGTTGATAGGATTGAGGCAAGAGGACCAAGTGGAGTGACCAACCCTTGGGGTTGTGTGCAATTGAGGAAAGCTCAAAGAGCAAGGTAAACCTTTGGACCTTGTGGTTGATCCCATTGAGTGTTCCACCATACTCCGTTGAGGAGAAATGGTTTATGAGATGTGATATGTAATTATGATAGTGATTGTATGCTCATGCATTGATTCATGCATTGATACATGTTATGATTGATTGATGATTATTGGTTGATGTTTGATTGTTTAAGAGTAATTGAGGAATGATTATAGAAGTAGCAATAATGAATGAGGTAATGGTTGAGGATTGTGATTGAGGTAATGAGTGATAGTATTATGATGAGGATGATTGGTAGGAACTTCCCTTGGAAACAGCCCTATGTGGATCTCCATGTGGTTAGAGCCTAAGAGGAACAGCCCTATGTGGATCCCTCTTGGAGGTTCCTAGATTGAGGAAAGGACTTCCCTTGGAAACAGCCCTATGTGGATCTCCATGTGGTTAGAGCCTAAGAGGAACAGCCCTATGTGGATCCCTCTTGGAGGTTCCTAGATTGAGGAAAGGACTTCCCTTGGAAACAGCCCTGTGTGGATCTCCATGTGGTTAGAGCCTAAGAGGAACAGCCCTATGTGGATCCCTCTTGGAGGTTCCTAGATTGAGGAAAGGACTTCCCTTGGAAACAGCCCTATGTGGATCTCCATGTGGTAAGAGCCTAAGAGAAACAGCCCATAGTGGATCTCTCTTGGAAGTCCATGTGATGCTTGTGGATAAGAATGTGTTAAGCTATTATGATTATGTGTACATCAAAGTGAACCTTAGGGTGGAGTGATCTCCAAGGACCTCTGGTTTACTGTGATATATTCGTATATCTCACCCCGTGTTGTGGGGCATCATTTCAGGTACTGATAGAGGTGAGGTTGATCGAGGCAAGAAGCGTGAGTAGACTGTACCTGATAGCTGGACATGTTGAGTTGCATGCCATTTAGCATTGCTATATGTATATTTTGATGCCACATGATGTATTTTGGAGGACTTAGTGCATGATCATTGTAGTAGTAATGGGTATCTGATACAGGGTTACTTGCTTTGATCATGTTCATTTTGTAGCTAAGTCCTTTGGCATGTGTATGATGATTACTGTAAGTTAAATGCATGAATGTATTTTTATGTATTGGATATGTTGAGCTGGAAAGTCAATTAGGTACCTTGTGCTAAGTTGGGAAACGTTGAGAAAACAAAGATTATGCTGCCCAATTTCCGTTAAATCAATGATGAGAGGATGAGAGTTGAGCAATGATATAGGGATATCACAAGCTTGTTAAATAGGTTGTAAAATGTGTAGGATTGATTCCCCAAGAAAGATGCATGAAAAATATGAGTATAGGAAATTGCCCAGAAGAGGGGGCTTAAGCCTGCAAATGGAGGCTTAAGCCTGCTCAGGGGGCTTAAGCGCCCATGAGGGGGCTTAAGCGCCCTGATGCACCTGTGAAGACCAAAAGCTTTCTGCCGCATGGGGCTTTAGCGCCCAAAATGGGGGCTTAAGCGCCCAGGTAGCGCGCTTAAGCGCCCTGGAGCGAGCTTAAGCGCCCTTGGTGGCTAAAAAATGTAAATTCCCTCTGTCTGTGGGCGCTTAAGCGCCCTGGAGCGAGCTTAAGCGCCCTACCCGCGTAGTTTTTCAGCATACACCTGAGTTAGTAAAATTGTCATAACTTGAGCTACAGAGCTCCAAATGAGGAGCGGTTTGAAACCACGCGTAGCTAACGAAGAGATCTACAATATAGTAGAAGTTGGGAAATAAATAAGAAGTAAATTAATGTTTTAAAAATGGAATAAGAACATGATATTAAGCTTGATTTATCTGATTCCACAAAGTAATATGGTTATGATCACGCAATTGGGCATTATAAATTCGGCGTGTTTTAAAATGAAAAATTTAACCGGATTTTAATTGAACCCATGTGATTGTAACTGCGCTTAATATCATAATGCGATGTTAACAAACCGGTTCTAGAACGGGGTGTTACATTTTATGGTATCAGAGCAGTTTCGTAGGGAATAACTGTTAGCTATTGTTGAGTATGCTTAGTGTTTGATGCTTTTTAGTTGTTTTAGTACTCTTGATGATTATTGCATTTGTGATCACTAAGTGTGGGCCTGATCAACTCACTTCTTTGTGTAACATGTGTAGTGACATGACGAGGCACCGAAACAACCCCGGACCATCAAACACCAATGCTCAGCCATAACCTGTTTTGGCTGCTCTTGTGAGGCCCAGAAGTGGCCGTGGGGCAACGGGCGTACCGCCTGATCCCGTGGCTGAAGCTCTTGCAGCCGTTCAGAGAGAGTTGGCTGCTAGCAGGCAAGCCAATGAAAATTTGTTAAAGACAAATGAAGACTCGCGGACTGCTATGGCCGCGATGATGACCGAGTTGAGGACGTTGAGGGGTCCTAGGCCCGTGAACCGGCAACCCACTCCTCCTCCTCACACTGCTACGCCTTCTCCACCTCCTTCACAGGAAGAGGGTGTAGCGGGTAACAATGAAGGTGAGGCTAGCCACCATTCTGATAGTCATAGCCATCACACTGAGGTCCGTCAACCACGTGTTGAGCGTGTTGACGAGCATGAAGCTGAAGAAAGAAGATTGATGGCTTTCCGAAAACACAAACCTCCTTCTTTTAAGGGAGGTTATGAGCCAATGGCGGCTGCGAAATGGCTCCAAGCTATGGAGAAGATATTCAGGGTGATGAGATGCCCTGACACAATGAAGTTAATCTACTCTGTTTATATGCTGGAAGAGGAAGCGGAAGATTGGTGGACCAATACCGTGCAGCCATTAGAAGCTGAAGGCCGGGAAATCACCTGGCGGTTGTTCGAGACATTGTTCTTGGATAACTATTTTCCTAGGGAGGCTAGGGAACAGAAACAGAATGAGTATAACGATCTCAAGCAAGGGTCGATGACAATTGACCAATATTTCGCCAAGTTCAATGAATTGGTGAAATATGCTAACTATGGGAGAGCCTTACCCATTCCGGCCGAGATGACCTCTAAATTTCAATGGGGTCTAAATGAGAAGATGTCTCGGAAGATGTCAAATTGTGACATCCGAGAGTTTAGTAGATTCGTGAACCAATGCCGGAAGGTGGAAGAAGTTTATGGTGTGCTGAAAAGTAAGAAGTCTTCCGAGGCACAAGCATCTGGTGCTAGTGGAGCAACTGGCTCTACTTCAGAAAAGGGTAAGAAGATGGATGACAGGAATATTAAAGAAAAATTACAAGCTAGACAGTCTGAAGAAAAGTTTAAAAGAAGCGGGAGTCAACAGAGTTGGGACAATGAAAGACCTATTGTGCCAAAGTGTGACAATTGTGGCAGGCATCACAAGGGCGTTTGTTTGATGGGCCAGAACGTATGTTTTAAGTGTGGTAGACCTGGTCACTATGCGAGGGATTGTCCCCAGATTGTGGGATGGGTTGCTCATGTGCAAGTGGTCTATGACCCTTCAGCAGCGGCACATGTTAGCACTTCGACCCAACCCCAGCTAGAGAGGTTCCCATACTTGACGGGAGGTATGACGCATGTAGATTAATATGACATGCATAGTTTATTGAGGTTGGAGCCACACATGCTTAGACTGTGAACTCAATTATGATTGTGTGATTCGTTATGTCTAGTAATTAAAGACTAGACTATGTATTGATTGCTAAAAGATGGTAAGTTGTATGCAATGACCTTTCCATGGATGTAGTGGTAGTATTACCTCCATGAGGATAGTATCCTATGAGATAGAGAATTCTCATTAAAGGTCTAGATTGAGGGGAACTTCCCTTGGAGTTAGCCTTCGGGACCTCCTTGTGGTCAGATACCTAAGAGAAACAGCCCATAGCGGATCTCTCTTGGAAGTTCCATCAGATGAGATTTTATGTATGAGGTTATTAGTAGGACCGCAGAAGGTCAGGGTTAAATGGAGCATTGTGGAGAGGGATATTGCTCCTAAAAAATTCGGCCCTTTGTGAGATTTTGGGGTTTTGGGGGTTTCAACCTCATGGAAGCTCTCAGGAGCACTGATTCCTCTATTGTGTGA